TGGCTTTCAGATCTAACAGCGTCATGGTATAACAGTAACAATTCCTCGCCTCTTCTCTCCTCTTTCCTTCAGAAAATTCTTCACAGCCAGAGTGTACTCCAAGCTGCTCCATAGCGACCCTTACGGCAGGATCTCCATCATGCAGTTCTTTAACTACGTCATGAGGAAAGGTCTGGACCACCATGTTCTCGTCTACTTTGTCCCTTTTTACATGTTCATCAGTGAGCAATGATAAATAAGTAGAATATATCTTGAGACGGTAGAAAAACAAACAACAAGACTTCTTATTCTCATATGACACACTTCTCAAGATGTTTCCTGTGATAGTTTAGTTTTGTTAGTAACTCCCAGCCCAGTTTACTACCTGGATTTATGTCACTGAATGTTGCTCATTTCTATCCTCTCTGTTCATCCAGTCTGGCTGCATCAGACCCGGATAGGTCTGAGTCTGTATGACGTAGCGGGACAGGGCCACCTCAGAGAGTCGGTGAGCATTTCCATCACTAACCACACATTTAAGAAAACGTGTTTCCTCTTTGAAGTAATGAGCAGCCAGTAGGAGATGAATGGCTTCCCTTAGTGGTGAAATGAAAATGCTGTTGTTCTGTGTAGGATCTGGAGAACTACATCCTGGAGCTGATCCCCACTCTGCCTCAGCTGGACGGACTGGAGAAGTCCTTCTACTCTTTCTACGTCTGCACCGCTGTTCGCAAGTTCTTCTTCTTCCTCGACCCCCTCCGAACAGGTGAGCCTGAACCCCACACATGGTGAAAATGTAACACTGAATTGTGGGCTTCAGAGAGGCTGAGTTTACAAAGTCTTTGTACTGAGGACGTTTGTGTCTCTGTTTTGTCTTCTTCAGGAAAGATGAAAATCCAGGATATATTGGCCTGCAGTTTTCTGGACGACTTATTGGAGGTAGATTTTTTTTTTTTTTGCTCTATCACTGATAAGATGTTATTAATTTATTCTGTTTCTACACTACAAGCGGGCAGTTAGGGACAGTTAAAGGGACAATTACAGGACATTTTGTAGCTGTGTTTTATGGATAAATGCTGTTTTTTATTTCTTCTTACATGAAACCGTCACACATTACAAGATTCATTGTAAAGCAATTCTCCCACAACTGTAGAGACCGACTTATGTAATGTTTGGCTTCTTTTCTCTCACACTGTCTTCTCCTCTGTGCTCTTAGCTGAGAGACGAGGAGCTCTCTAAAGAGAGTCAGGAGTCCAACTGGTTCTCGGCCCCCTCCGCTCTCCGAGTCTACGGTGAGAAAACGGCTCTGCGTGAATGTCAGGTTTCCAGTCTCCAATCGAACGTTTGCTGGATGTTTTGTATCTTTGTGTCTCCACAGGCCAGTACCTCAACCTGGACAAGGACCACAACGGCATGTTGAGCAAAGAGGAGCTTTCTCGCTACGGTACGGCGACGCTCACCTCGGTCTTCCTGGACAGAGTGTTTCAGGAGTGTCTCACCTACGACGGAGAAATGGTACAATCAAACACAGTACCAAGGCCAAACGGCTCCAATGCCCCCCCCGTCAGTCATTCTCCAGCTTTCTGCAACTGTTGCGTTGCCCAGTGGTGTTTTAATGATGGTGGATTAGTCAGTCCAAAATCTCCCATGGGTAATAATTATGTTTCTCTCCTCCTGTCTCAGGACTACAAGACCTATCTAGACTTTGTATTGGCGTTGGAAAACAGGAAGGAGCCTGCGGCGTTGCAGTATATTTTTAAACTTCTGGACATGGACAATCAGGGATACCTCAACGTCTTCTCCCTCAACTACTTCTTCAGGGTAAATTATCATCCGAGCTCCGGACTCTTTTTAAGGCTTGGACCTAGCTTGTAGCTTGTCAGTGTGTAATGATACTGTTGTGTGCTTTCAGGCCATTCAGGAGCAGATGAAACTCCACGGTCAGGAGCCCGTCACCTTCCAGGATGTCAAGGTATATTGTACACACACACACACACACACACAGACACTTTGTTTTTGGGTAAAAAAGAAAGAAAGATGAAGGTTTTGATCCCTGCCTCGTCCTCAGGATGAGATCTTTGACATGGTGAAGCCCAAAGACCCGTACAAGATCACTCTCCAGGACTTGGTGAACAGTTGCCAGGGCGATACCGTCACCAGCATCCTGATCGACCTCAACGGCTTCTGGACCTACGAGAACAGAGAGGTGCTGGTTTCCAACGACAGCGACGGCAGCAACACAGCTGACCTCGACGACAGCTGAAGATGATTTGGGGGGCTGACGTGTGGCTGAGGCACCCGTTACCTAAAGGACACCGTTTCACTCAGTGTCACACCTGAACTCTTACTGCTGACTCAGGACCCCCTGGGTATGTTTTAGCTAGATATGGACATCGTGAAAACCTTGAGGAAATGAAGGAAAACAGCAGAGATTCTGCTTTGCAAATATTCCGTATTTTCCTGTAAAGAAGACCATTGTTTTGTCATTTACCTCTTTAAAATAAATGTTTCCTTTTGTGACCATGCCTAAATGTTTTCTTTTACACCCACTGAGATCAAAAGCTGCTGTTTTGAGAGGTCTTGCTGTTGAGCTGAGCCATGAGAGGGAGATTCATAGTCATTTAAAACTAAATGAACATCATTTATGAGATGAGTTGGTTGGGATGTTAGAAATCCTGAAAATTTGAATGCCTAGTACATGATAAAGGTTCTAGGAAAGAACAGCTGGTTGATTCCTTTATAACAATTCATTAGTTATGTATAATGACAAAAAAAAAAAAACTCCACCATATGAATGTTTAAATGTTTTATTAACACAAATAAAATATAAATATGTATATACATATTCATTAAAGGTTTGTTAAAATAACTTTTGCATACATGTTGGCCCCTTTTACATAAAGCATGAATAATATCCTTCATTGACTAGTGAAAGACATTCACCCACAAAATGTTTTTAACAAGCCAAGTTAAAAGCTCTTGTTGAGCTGGGTCATTTTGCAAAGCGGTACGCTAAACACTGCGGCTGAGATCTAAGGCCTGTCAGTGGATATAAATAATCAATAAGAAGCTTACGATAGCTCGGTCTCAGCACTACGCCTGCTGAGCAGCTAAACACTCGTATGAAGGCTTCCAGAAGGACACTTCAAGAATGAACACACAACACATGTACACATGTAGGTAGATCAATGTATTCGGTTCACTTTCCATGACAGTTTTAAGCATTACCCCAGAAACACACTTATATATAAAGCTGTAAATACTTAATAAAACACCACATTTTAGCCATCACATCTTCTGCTCTGGAGGAGACCAGGATATTACTAATTAATATGCCAAACCAAGCATCACACCTATGAATTGAGCTCTTGGATTATCAGGCCTCCTAGTTAACAGCTCAGCATTTTACATGAGTCCTGTTCTAAGAGCAGGAAGGCACAGTAGCCTTGAGGAAGTACTCGTGACTATCAGAAGGCCGAAGCGGCAACGTCATCATTCCCTGCTTATCTTTATAGCTTGGAAGTCAAAAACGAGCCATCCCTCTTCCACTTTAACGATGCACATGACGAGTGTAGACAACCATGTCAGAGACAAGAAGCACAGAAAGAGACTAAGGGGACAAATCACGCCCCGCCTTTACAAAACTGGCTGAACTTGCAAAATGTCAGACGTTGCTTACATACAGCAGCAGGATCAACAATCACACAGCAGGTGTAACGTGTGTCTGTTGATGTTGCTGCTGACACCAGAGGTGGGGCTCATTCTTTTTCTGTTGAGTTCAGTTCCGTTTATAAACCGATGAACAAACAGATGGGGGACTATTTCCTCCATAAGATTCACATCCAGCATGTTTTCCACTTCCACTCTCAACTGCTGTCAATTCAGAGTGAGCTGAGCCCCGTGTGGTCAGGAAATAGAAACATCTCAATCTTGCATACAGTTTCACACCATACACATTCACACATAAGGCTAGTGCAGTCACTTCCACAGCCCTTTTACTTTCTCCCTGCACCGTGTACTAAGAATGTCCGTTTATAAAATAAAAACATAGAAAATATTACAGCGCAATTAATCTATACTGCTATGTAAATTAAGGTTTCGTGTTTCGGTTTGATGTTGGTGGTTTGTCTCTTGAGAGTCAGTTTTCAGGAGGGGAGGGGAGAGGGGACTCTGTTGGTGTCTGCAGGGTTGAGAGGAGGTTCAGGTTCCAGATCAAAGCTGATGTTTACAAAGGAGGCGGCGGAAGCTTCCGGCTGCTCCACGGTAGCAGGACGAGGATCCTCCTGCTCGCCTCTTCGCTGCTCCGCGAACCGACGTTCCGCCGTCTCGGACAGACGGTTGTCCTCCTCTTCCTCCTCCTCCTGCAGGGGGGGGGGCACACACACCAGTGTAACTTGCATTTCATACTAATATAAATTATTAAATTATTGTTTGACAGCTTGCTCCTGCCTCTGTCTAAGCCGCTTTTAAAATGATCTGACTTTATTCACATTCCCATAAGAAATTGACATGTGGAACCCAAGGATGTGCATGTGCGCATGTGTCCTACCTCTTTCTTTATACGGTAGTACTCATCAATAGCATATTGGTATTTAGGAGAGGTGATGCCGAACATAGAGGCCAGTCTCTCGCCCATGTAGTCACACACTACAGGAACAAACACACAAACACAATGACGATATCAAAAACAGCAGAGTACAATTCAAGTGTGAAACACGCTGTGAATCACATCTGATACTGCTAATATTCCAGTATTTCCACAGAGCATTTATAACATGTATTGACTTCTCTGACTGTAAGATCTCTTGATATTTCAGAATGTAGTAGGATGCGATTGGTCCTTGCTAGTGTGAATGCCAGCTGAGACAGTAGACTACTTTACCTGAGATAGTGGAGGTGCCCATTCTCCACATGTGAAACCAGAAGTACGGAGCCCAGGTCAGTTTGGACTACAATACACATGAGGAGAATATGATCATTAGACCACACGTCTGCTGGTCAATCACACAAAGCACAAATCTGAACCTACCGTGTCAACAGTGACGGCGTCTCTCTTCAAGGGCTCCTCCTCTTCCTCCTCATCGGTGCTGTACTCCTCCATGGTCTCTCCGCTGGCGAAGTAGATGGTCCTGCGGGGGACCTTCACCTGCCTCCCGGCAGAGTCTCCCATCTCTACCCGCTCTAAGTCTGTCGGCCCTGCTGGATTCTGTCAAAACAGACAATACCACCAGCAATATTAGTAATATGCAGTATATTATTAATAGCTTTTGTAAATGGTGCCGATAAGCCAGGCACAAACATGCTAAAAGATATTCTTGTTTGATGTGCCCTCCCACAGTCTGGCAGAATAAACTAATAAAACATCAAACATAATAAATGTAACTACGAAGCAAAGTTATTTAACTAACGTCATATGTAACTTAACGTTAGTCAAGTTCTTTACACTGTGTAACTACACAGTGTGGTAAGTAAAGTCCCAAATGTTCACGTAAATTAGCTGTTAGCTACTTTGTGTTTGTTGACGGTTAGCTTCTTAGCTAAGGAAGTAATTCGCAAAAAACATTTGTTTTTTTCATTCACAAACACGGAAAGTGGTGAAAGTAGTATCGCACAGACTAACCTTATCAGTGTCCATAGTTTGCCCCAGTGAAACATTGGCATTAGCTAAATACAAAGACAAGTCTGCCATCTCTGTCACTTCTTCCACCTCACGACCCAGTTGCCAGGGTTCCACTCGCACCACTTCCTTTATAACTTCTTCAGAATAAAAGCTTTTTGTTCGTAACCCGGTTTGTTTGACAGCATAAATTCAGCCCTGCTGTACACTTTTATGTTTGGTAGTAACTGTTCTGCACACTTTAAAAAAAAGAGAGACGTACAGTTTACATGCTCTTCTTAAAGAAATGTATTTATTGATTTATTGATTTGATTTAATAAACCAAGAAAGGAGAAATAAACATTGTTGAACCATTGTTGATAAATATGTACACATATAAGTCAACACAATTAGTGAGCATCTTGAGAAAAAAATTAAACAAAGTAATGAATAAATTATATAATAAGTTAAACATTAGGTGGAATCAAGACAAATGTAGAAAACTAAATTAACAATAATTAATAACAAGATTACTACCAAACCTGTCAACTGTGGCAGGAGGCAACACAACTCTGCTGTACTTGTACTTTCTTTGAGTATTTTCATTTTACGTTACCTCTACTCCAAATTGTAATCCACTAAATGTATGTATATCTACAGTGTGTTACTCTACAGATTAAGATTTTAAAAACCTATAATGAGCAAATCGAATTGGATGCACTTTCATAAAGTAAATTAAACCAACCAACAGTATGTACTTTCCTTCAAGTACAATGTTGGATGCAGGACTTTTATCTGTAATTGAGTATTTTCAGAGGGCTAATTGAACTTAAGCAAATAATGTGAATACTTCTTTGAATGTTTATTATGCATATTCTATAATAGAGTGTACATCAGACAGATAAACTGTTATACAATATGATTCATGAATACATGTTAAAAATGTTTTACATTTTGACTAATCACAGTAGGGAAAGTACAGGTGTGACAACTTTTTTATTAGTATTATTTACACCTGTTTGCCTGTGGTGACATGTCAAACTGTCTCCTGTGAAAGAGACCTAGAGTCACTTGGTAGTCAGAGCTTTATTTCGAAAGATTAGAGCGGAAGCAGTATTTCTCGTATACGGTAGATTGACAGTCGTACCAGCGAGAGGGATCCTCGCCTGTGGTGTTTTGGTCCAGTCGAGCCCACTCACAAAAATGACAGCGCGGAAGTCTGGCTCACGACTGGAGACCGAGATAGAGCGGTGCCGCTCTGAGAGTCAATGGGACAAGATACCGGAGTTAGTACGACAGCTCTCAGCCAAACTAATAGCAAACGGTAGGAAACGTGCAGCTTTCCCTGTTCTTCGTTCATTCAGTCTGTCAGGCCTTCCCTCTGCTCGGAGTCCTCGGTACTTCCTGATAGCGGCAGCCGATGCTGGGAGTTTTCCAGCACTGTGCTCTTGGTAGAGCCAGTTAGCTAGGAAAGGTCAAGAGAAAGACTTACTGGGGTTTTGCCATCTTTGAACAGTGTGGTGTGTAACGTCACACACTGAGATACTTTGATTTCAAGATAAGGAGAACTTAGCTTGTGGTCTGACAGCCCCCCCTCCAACCTTCACAGTCAAGCGGAACTCCGTTCACACATCTGTCATTAGGTTAATGTTGTCCTTGCTTAACATGTATGACAATAACGTCAATAATAGTTGACTAACGCCTTCACAGCAACATAACAGGATTGTTTCACCCTTTGTTACTAACATGTCACGATTGTGATGATGCCGAATTTACCAGAATAATCCCGTTACTAGTTAAAAGCTTCTACATTTAATCCATATAGAGCACACGTTTACCAAAACGGTCTAAATTGGCAGATTTTCAATTATATTTTTCGCAATTAGCGTCACTTAAATTAGCCGTGTGGCTAAGATGAGTGATTGCTACATGCTAACGCTAGCTGTCAAACTCCCTGCTGATGCTGAACTACTCACAGTACAGTAGTAGGTCGATGACGACAGAGGAACACCTTAGTTATACACAGCAAAGACAGTGGCCGATCCATCACTGTAGTCTAGATCAGTGTTTTGTATTTGTGAAATCCCATTCGTTTAAGTGTAAAATCCCTGTGACATGAACGCATCACGATGTAGATGATGATCTCACATGTACATCGTGATGCGTTCAATTCACACTGATTTTTATAGTTACCTCTTTCCCCCTTTTGATATGGAAATTAGCTGGCTTGCGTGCAAACAGATTTAAAAGGACATGTAAACAGCATTATATCCTATCTTTCCATGCAATTTAAATTCACCTATTATCATTACTATAGCATTAAATGTCACTCATGGTGGTTGCTCTGATCCAATATAACTTCTAAATTGGCAAATAACTACATCCTGTACTTCTACTTCTACTGTTCTTTTGCTGCAAATGTCTGTGCTTCTCTATCTTGCCACAACTTCAAATAACCAAGGCAGACTGCTTGTGATGGTTTGTGCATTCAATTACCATCAAGACTTCTAGTGTGATTGATAGCTCCTATTTTTTTTAAAATCTTCGTGTTAAAGAGTAACTTCACAACCCTGAAAGTCTCGTCTTCGCTAGCGTTTTCACCTCGATGCAATGATGTACAGGTGGACTGCAGCACCCTGTGACATCACTGTGGAGTGAGTATCTCTGATCACAGCCGTTAGTGAGGTCAGACCTGAAACAGGCCAGAGAGGGAAGCCTGGTGTACTTTAGGATGGCTTCATACAGTATATGAGCTATACTGATTTCTGCTTTAAGTGGTAGCTGAGCAACCACAGCCAAGAATGCAATTAGAGGAATTGCTCGTGTTGTGTTTTACAGTTGAGGAGAGCGGAGGGCTTGTGGCATCATGGTCTAAAAACAGAAATGTTGTTAGATCTCTGTGAACTGTAAGCCAACAAATAAAAACGATTCTAATGGCTTCAGTGAGTAATATTTTACAATTGTGGAAGAACATGCAGCCTTTATGGAATGTGATGTGGCACAGGAGAGCTGTAAACTGTGGTCACTGACTGGGATCAGTAACAGGATTAATGCTCATTTCACCCTTTGAACCTCTTAAAAACACCCACAATCACACGGTTTCTAAGCTTGTTAAGGCTTCACATAACTCCGGCTGTTATGTGTGTCAGCACAGCAGTGTTCCTCCATATGTTGAAGTATTTATTTTAATCGCAGTCAAGCTGACCACCAGGAGAACCCTTCCAAAGGATACGTTATCATCGCATAGTCGCATACTTTACACTGTAATCCTAGATTAACCATATATCGCCCTTAGATTAATTATTGATTAATCTTAGATTGGTTGTAAATTAGTGTTCGATTTAAACTGGCAGATTGATCATAGACGGACTCTATTGTTTTTACTCCAAGCTTATTAAAGGTGCAGTGTGGATTTGGCGTTATCTAGCCGTCAGGTTGCAGATTGCAACCAACTGAAACTTTTCCCCTGTGCAAAGCCACAGTGGTGCTATCTATAGCCAGTGTTAGGTTTGTCCATTCTGGGCTACTGTAGAAACATGGTAGCCATAAATGCTACACACTGTTTGTTTTAAGTGATGAGGTAATTCTAGTCATGATTTCTCCTAACATCTTGTGGTGTGTGTGTGTGTGTGTGTGTGTGTGTGTGTGTGTGTGTGTGTGTGTAGATGACCTAGGTGAGTTGTTGCTGGGGGAATGCAAGCTTCAGACATACCTGAAGGAGAACCCCCTCAAACAGGGAGCCAGTCCCAGGGGCCCACGACCTAAACTGGTGGAGGTCAGGAAACACCTCACTGCTGCTCTGGACAGAGGAAACCTCAAGGTAACTGTGGATGAAGAGATGCTCGACAAATTGTCTGAATGACTTACTTGGTTTGGTTCGTGCCCACGTTGTCACATCGTCGCTTTGTTTCTTATTTATTTTACAAATCGATTTCGGTGTGTGCCACGTGATTTTGTGCCACAAATTGTAATGGCTCATGCAAGCTTTTCAAAATCAGCAGATATAGTGAATGTACAAAATCGAAATAATACAAAGAGAAAATGTCTTGTTTTCTGTCCTTCAGGCGGATTACCTCCAGGAAGTCAGTCTGCTGATGGCCAAACTGTGCTATGTGGAGGGAGAATACAGAGACGCGTTAGGTAACCCTCTGCTTTATTTACTCATCTTTAGTCTCTGTTCCTGGTATGATGTTATTCATTTAATAAAAAGCGCCTTTGGTTTTATGGCTAATATACTGGTTTACCAATCGATTTCTTCATTAATACATAATTGGTGACAGGTCACTACAGCAGGGTGAACCTGGATGACCTGCAGCTGGGGGGAGCTCCTGTGTACAGGCTGTCCATGATAGCAGAGGCATACGCTACTAAAGGTACACACACACACGTACACACACACACACATGCGCGCACATACGCGCACATACCCGTGTCTCGTATCCTTCTTGATTTAACCTCATGGTGGCAGTAGAGTGTCACTGCAGTGGAATAAACTGGATTATGCTGGATTGTTATGATTAATAAATGCACACAGTCACACATCAGGCACCTCTGGATGCATTTGAATAATGGATATTCACTTGTTATTCTATTCTTATTCAGGTCATCTGTGTAACCGAATACAACTCTCAAAACTCAAGTAACCATTCCCTGTCATTTAAGATTGATAAGATAACACCGCGATGATTATGAGTGATGAATGATGTTTTGAGGCTCAAGGCAGCTTGGTTTGGAAACCAATCATTAGTAGGAGAAGATGATCCCCGAGGGTCAAAAACTACATCAAACAACGACCAAACATCATGAGCTAATGGTTTGAAAGGCAGAACATGTATACCAGACACTAATAGGTGACTCATGGCCTTTGCCACTGTGTATTTATTTTCTGTCGCCTTGCGCACTCTTTCCTTCTCTTCCCCCCAGGACTGTGCTTAGAGAAGGTCCCAGCAGCCTCTCCGTCTCTATCCAATAAGAACACTGGGTCGCCCTCGTCCAATAGGAGCACAACAGACCGGGACCAGGAAATCATCAACTGTTATGAAAAGTCTGGAGACATTGCTCTGCTCTACCTGCAGGAGGCTGAGAAGGTACACGTTGGTTCCACGTCGTGCTATGTCTTCAATCGGACTTCTAGTGAAAGCGGCATACTTACGGTCAATTGCTGTGCTTTCTCTGAGCGTCACCAAATGTCCTGTTAGCACCTGGACTCCCGAATGCGTTGCCATCGCTGTGGGTGTGTGATGAAAGCTCTGCAGACAGTGTGCAAGTTTGACCAATGCGTTACCGCTGGTGACAGCCAACTGGAAAACAAATCTCTCCCTCTTAATTTGAAGAATGTCTGTCTGAGAGCTGACATCCTCCAACTGACTGAGCAGTGAAGTGCAATAAAAGCCAGGAAGACACAAACCAAACTGTCCCAACATTCAAATTATGCTTGAATGAGATGTGAGGAAAAGAGATGAATTCTATAAACTTGTGGCTGAAGACGGACAGAAACAGACAAATGTTTCAAATGATATAGCGATTGTATTGTTCATGTTATAACATGATTAGGTAGATGTACTTTTTCTGAAAAAGTAGCAAAACAACTCCAGTTTCACTGCTTAATAAAACTTTGAGGCCGCCCCACCAATTGTGCACTGGACATTTCAAAATGTTGTTAGATATAAGTTAATATCAAGTTATGACTTTAACATAAAACGTTTCACGCTATAAGAAGATACACAATATATTGTTATACGTTATTATCTTTTATGTCGAACAAATATGAAAATATGTCGCTATAACGTGAAAAACATCTTGTTATAGCGATGAACATTTGACGTTCTAAAGTGATACTTGTCCGTTTCTCTTTTTCTGGGGTGACAGCAATACGCTGTCGTAACTAGCATAATGAATTATAAGAATATTTTAAAATATCATACTTATTTTTACAAGTCAGTTAAGGTTTAGGGCTGCACATTTCATCTATATAATGTCGGAGAATAGTGAGAAATGGACATCACAAATCCCTAGAGTCCAAGGTGAAGTCTTCAAATGTCTTGTTTAGTCCGTCACCCAAAAACAAGCAGTTTACTCTCACAACAGAGCTGGAACCAGAGGCTTTCTTTTAGTGGTTTTGCTTGAAACTTGATGATTTCTCTATTATCGAAATAGTTACTGACTAATAAATCAACGTATTGTTTTCACTCTAGTAAAGTCACACCTGAAGTCCTTTATAGGATTATTAATGTAAAAACCATCATACTTGGATGTAGATGATGATGTAATTAAACACAACATTTCACCTGAGTGTAATTGTCACTAACACACAAACCTAACCAGCAAATTCCAACAGGTGTATTTATCAACTATAGCCTAGTCATTTGATTCCTATCATAACTTCTTCTCTACAACGCTGGATTAATAATCCAGCACAAGTAACTGTGAAATGTAGGCCAACAAAGCTTCATGTTACCAACATCCCCATTCTGGCTGCCAAAGACAGACACAGCATCATCTGTATCTTGCTTAGTTAGCATTTCTCATGCATAAATAAATGAGATGTGTTAAATAGGCCACTGTAGAAATGAAATGGTTTGAGTGAGCCAATTTGAATCTTACTGTCATGAAATGATATCAGGCCTAGTGTTTACCCTGAAAATGTCCAAGATTATACACACAGACGTAATTTATTCTGTGTGTTGTTCACACAACATATAGCTGCTACACTGATGACTCACCACAGCTCATTGTTTCTAGTTCACCCTGTTTTCATTGTGTGCTGTGCAGCAAACAGGAAAGACAACCTTCTGCTCTGCTATTAACCGCATTGACAGTATTTCACACATGATTGATTTATGTCGGGGGGGATTCAGGCAGATCTTTCTTTGCAATTGTGTGTTAACTTTTGTGTTTCTTTCTTTCTCCCCGTCTGTTTCTGCAGGCCTTATCAGCAGGAATTCAGAACCGCAGCCCGAAGCCCGGCCCGACCTCCCAAGACCTGGAACTGGGCTACTTCCTGGAGACAGGCCTGCAGAGAGCCCACGTCATCCACTTCAAGAACGGGTAAGAGAGGGAAGCAGGTGGTGGCGCACAGAGAGAAATGGAAATCAGAGAGAGCCCAGAGAGTTGCCCATCAATCACTTCAAAAACACAAAACAGAGATTCTTAAGAAGACGACCACACGTTTTTAGTATTTACAGTCCAAAGAAGAAGAACAGCTCTTGTGGACACTTTACCAACCACTTTCCAGTTATCGTGTTACAAAGCTGCCGACAGGTCGGTGAAAGCAGAAAAGTGTGAACACTGTTAAGTAACATGCGCAGCAGAAAGTAGTTCTCATAGCGTTGTTGTTCTCATTACAGCAGAGATAATTAAAAACATCGGCTAGCGCAGCATGAAATATGAACAACATCACCTTCAGACCTTTTCTGTGTCATTGTGCTATTAAATATTCACCTTTTCACTCACACATGGTGTGGACATGGTGTGGATCATGCTCACATCTGTTGTGAGATATCTTCCATTCACACATACACACACTACAGACTGACAAGTGTCCCTCTTCCTGTTTCCTCACTGCATTGCCATAGCAACCTGACACAAGGTGTGGGCCGGTTTCGGGAGATTCTTCGGGCTGTTGAGAACAGAACCACCCAGAGCCTGCGCATGGTGAGGGACGATGGGTTGGGAGGTTGGCTTTTTAACTTTGCTCTGAGATTAGGAGATGTTTATGTATCACTTCCCTCGCGTCTGGGATTTGCGAAATGAGTTTATTTGTTTTTTTGCCCGGCTACCTCAGGAAGTTCTCTTCCAGCCCCCAACAGTGTTTGTACGGATTAAACAAAAAGTAGATATAGCGTGTTAATTAGTGAGCTTTACAGGTGCTGTTGGGAGGATTCTGTTACCTTCTGACAAACCCAGGCTAGCTGTTTTCCCCTGTTTCCAGTCTATGCTAAGCTAGCCGGCGCTAGCTTCATATTTTCCAAACAGGGATATCTAACTCTCTGCAAGAAAGCAAATAAGCGTATTTCCCAAAATGTCAAACTATTCCTTTTTAAAAAAGACACTGCTTCCATACTCAAACCCACCGATTCACATTCTGCTTCAGTCTGTAGAATTTGAATGTGTCCAAGTTGTACAAAATAATTCCCTCTAGCCTTTCTGTACACTCTGTTAGAAACCTTTGATTGTACATGTGATGATGATGAAAGGATCCAGATAGCAGCCTGTACAATGGTAGAATCATTAATATAACTGACTGTATTCTAAGTATATTAGAAGCAAAGTAAGCCCCAAGTCAACAGATTGCTGCCGTGTTTGTACCAGACTATCGTTGCCAAATGTGTGTGTGTGTGTGTGTGCGTGTGCGTGCGTTCGTGCGTGTGTGTGTGTGTGTGAATGCAGACCATAGCCAGACAGCTTGCAGAGATCTTGCTCAGAGGAATGTGTGAACAGAGTTACTGGTCTCCTCTGGAAGACCCGCCCACCGTGTCGCCATTGGACGATCCCACACGGCAGGGACACACTCACACCAAGAACTACAGCCTAAGCCGACGCCCACGCGTGTACTCGGGAGAGAAGTAAGTGATAATGTGTGTGCGTTTATGCTTAAGTTGGAATACGGTGGAAAATAGCCAACACAGCTCTAAAATTACATCTTTGCCAATGTACTTTTTAAACTTTTTGTTTTCCTTTTTCTCTTTTCCTCTCATCCTCGTCCATGTTTCTGACTACCTCGGTGCATTTCTCTCTCTCTCTCTCTCTCTCTCTCTCTCAGTCTGTTTTGCCCTCAGGAGAACACAGAAGAAGCTTTGCTGCTGCTGCTCATCAGTGAGTCCATGGTAAGCACAAACACGTCTCTAAAGCTGTGGGTCCTCTACTCGGGTTTGGAAACCTTGATAGTGCCATTCCTAAATCTCTCTATCTGTGTTTGTGTGTGCTCAGGCTAACCGTGACGCTGTCCTGAGCAGAATCCCTGAACACAACAATGATCGCATCATCAGCCTGCAGTCTGCGTCAGTGGTGTACGACCTGCTGACTATAGCTCTGGGCAGGAGAGGGCAGTATGAGATGCTGTCAGAGGTTAGTAATCCCTCTACGATGGGCTGCATACTCACTATCATAGTGATTGTGAAAAGTGTTAAAGCCCAGATACAACCATGGTACACCCACATGAAATCACACTTGAACTCATTTTTTCACATTTTCCCCAAACAAATGAATGTTTTATCACAATCCAATTGGCTCTAAAATGGCTGTAGAACTCGATGAAGCTTACAGATTCCCTGAGAAGGTTTGATGAAATGTGTCCTATTTCCGACGGCTCCAGTGTTTGGAGAGAGCCATGAAGTTTGCCTTTGAGGAGTTCCACTTGTGGTACCAGCTCGCCCTGTCACTGATGGCAGCTGGGAAATCAGCCCGTGCCGTTAAAGTCCTCAAGGAGTGTATTCGTCTGAAGCCTGACGACCCCACCATCCCACTGCTGGCTGTCAAGCTGTGTATCGGACCTCTGCACTGGGTAAGGAAGGAGCGTCCTGCAGACACAAACTGAAATGCAGCTAGCTGCTGAAGCATCACAGCGATTCTAGAGCACTTTTGGTAAAAGGTTTTCTGGAGCTTTGTTTTGCTCTGTTAATGCCTTCCCTTAATACCTTTTATTTTCTAAAATAATGTCTTTTTACTCTGGTATCTCTTTGCTTTTTTTCCTCTCCATTCGTTCTCATTTTATGTCTGTGTACTTCCACAATCCAGTTGGATGAGGGGGAGTGCTTTGGAAAGATTGTGATTGACATGGGGGAGAAAGCAGCCGAGTTCAGAGCCAAAGGCTTCTTGGCCATCGGGCTGGTTTACAGCCTCAAAGCCACTGACGGTAGGTCTCTGTGTGTGTTTGCTGTTGTAGAAAGGATGATGATCAGGAACCCTGAAAAGCTTTAGGATTTCAGATAAGGTGCCGTTAGGGTAGGATATTTGGGAGATTGCCCCTTTGGCCGACCTATTGTGAGGGATGACATCATAGAAAGCAAGTCACATATCTCATGTGAAATTGAGAAGATAAACAGGAGGAGCATGCATCCATTTTTGTTTCTCGTTCTCTATAGGATATTTTTACACAGACTCTGCTTCTCTCTTTCTGTCCCTGACTCTGTCTCTCTGCATCTCTTCAGCATCATTGCGAAGCACACAGGAGGAGTACCAGAGGAAAGCGTTGGGAGCCTTCCAGAGGTTGGGACTGAGCCATGCTGCTCGCCGTTTTCTCTTTTACACCCACATTTCACTCGTTTTATTTTTTCACAGCACAAACTGCCTCTCAGTCTGACAAAATGGAAACTGTTCTCAATAGATAGATAGAACAATTTTATCTTTGGGTAAAAGAAGGCTGACCTCAGCTTCAGCTGACCTCAGCTTCAGCTGACGGTGTGTTAACAATCTATTATGTTTACCGGTATCATTTGAATCCTACATCCGCTTGCACAGTTTTTCTTCTGTGTACACAGTATATGACTTGTATACGAGTCGTGTACACAGTATATGACTTGTATACGAGTCACATACTGCCACCAGTCAGTGGTAGAGCGGGGTCGTCCTTCAATCAGAGTATCGGCGGTTCGATCCCCGGCTTCGCTGGTCCATGTCGATGAGTCTTTGGGCAAGACACTTGCACAGCCTGCGGCGGATGAAGGGGTGTGAATGATTAGATAGTGCCTGATGGTCAGGTGGCACCTTGCATGGTAGCCTCTGTCATCAGTGTGTGAATGGGTGTGAATGGGTGAATGATGACATGTAGTGTTAAAGCAGTTTAAGTGGTCGGAAGACTAGAAAATAACTATACAAGTACAGTCCATTTACCATTTACTGTCCTTAAACAACCTCCACCCACAGATATGTGTATGGACATCTTGGAACCAGTCTGTAATGCACCCATCTTTTAAAGGGGTAGTTCTGATTTTTGAATTGGGGTTGTGTGACGCCCTGATCCATAGTCGGTGTATTTACCTCCAGTAGATGGCTGTTGGCATGCTCCCAGTTTGGGGAAACGTTACTACGAAGAATTCACAAAGTGTACTATAAGCGTCATCTATTAATAAGGTGAAAGATGTTACTGGTTTTAATATACATACTCTGCATTACTTATCACGTTTTTATGCTTGTTTTATTTTCCGTCATTCAGCTTATTAATATGGAGGTAAAGTTTCGAATTGTGTCTAAACGTTTAAACATCCTCTTATTTGATTTTCTTAAGCGCTCTATTACTTTGCTGTCTGTGCTACCCTTTTACTGTTCTGCTACTGCAGCGACCCAATTCCCCCACAGGGATCTTTAAAGCGTCATGAAATCTTATTTGACTTTTTATTCAGCACATCTGAACACACAATATCTGTCTCTGTAGAGCTCAGAGTCTGTCTCCGACTGACCACCTAGCAGCCTTCTACTTGGCGCTGCAGCTTGCTGTGTCCAGACAGGTAAACACAATCTTTAGTAATAATAACAGCTTAACATCATAATGCACATATCAAAACCATGTGAGTTTGAGGCATCGCTGCCAGACAGGGAGAGTCAGGGAACATCAGGAAAATGACACACCTGTCACTTGACAAAGTGCTTTTTTACCCCGACTGTGGTAACAACCTGTAGTCTGTAAATGTGTGTGTGTGTGTAGATCCCCGAGGCACTAGGCTATGTACGACAGGCGTTGCAGCTCCAAGGGGATGATGTCCACTCCCTTCATCTGCTAGCCCTGCTGCTCTCTGCTCAGAAGCACTACCACGACGCTCTCAACATTATAGAGATGGCTCTGTCCGAGTACCCAGAGAACTTCAAGTAAGACTCTCGACGCTACCACAAGACTTCATTTACTGCACACACAAAGTGTCTTTGTTTCTGTGTTGGCTTATCTGGTGTGTGTGTGTGTGTGTGTGTGTGTGTGTGTGTGTGTGTGTGTGT